TGTTTAAGCAATACTAAGTAGTATTTTACGTATTTTGTCCGAAACTATTAATAATTTAAATCAGCATACTATTCAATAAAATTTAATTAAATGAAATAATTTTATAAATTTTATAGCTTTCTATCAAAAGTCAAGCCAGTTTCAAAGAACTAAGTGACTTTTACTGTTATTCTATTTTATTTTTTCTTAGTTGTTACTGTGAAGTGTGGTTGTTTTATAAGCAAATAAAAATATAATGTCGTGGATTGTATAATAAAGAGATTTAGAATATTTTCATTGGGCGATGACCCTGATTTTTATATTTAAAATTAAGAACAAGTTATTCTAAAACAGATAAAAAAATATTACTTTTATAATCTAAAATTATGATCTCTGGTTTATCATAGCTATATACATTTGCAAAATTACAAGAAACAACTTAATAAACATTAGTAACAGTTAAATAGAAAACATAAGGCTACAAACAGGTGTAACTATTGGTTTTTTACTTGGTTTTTACGATTAATAATAAAATATTTTTATTTGAATATATATGTAAATTGAATTTTATTCATAGTTTAATTATCTAATTAACTAAAGCACTCTATCAATTTGTATACTATAGGAATACATGCAAACTGTAACTGCTGTAGATGGACATTGGTTGGCTGAATTGGGTCCTATGTTCTTTACTGTAAAGGAAACTGGAAAATCAGGTTCAGCAAAACGACAAACTATGGAAACATTACAAGAAATGGAAGGTTCTATGAGAATAGCACAAGAGGAAATGAAAGCAAGAAAGCTAGAAGAAGAGCGTAAACAATTGGCCAGCATCAGAAAGTAAATATATCATATATAGAAAATGGTTTCATTAATAAATTTAAAAATTTGAAAAATTTACTTAAAAATTTTCTGATTTTTATAGAGTGGAAATCATTACTCCGGGTAAATGGGAACCTGGTACCCCAACACTTCGTCGCAAGCAAGGAAATCTGGGGTTATAGCTGTCTTTTTTTTTTTTGTACTCATTAACACTATTGTTTTTTGTAAATCGATTATTGTAGAAATTTAATTGAACAATACTAAAAATATGTGTTTTATATACATATATATATATTATGGCCAAAAACAAAAATATATGCCCACGTATTAAATATATATGATGTGAAATGGTACATATAGTTGTTTATTATTATTTTATTTACGCAATATGTATAATATATACATTTATCTGAAAAAAAATATATCTATATAATTTAATATATTATTTACATCATTTTAAAATAAGCTGCTATACAATTACATATGTAATTAACCTAGATTTAAAGTCTTGACTTTTCACACATGTTCATTGCAAAAATCTAAAATTAATAAATGATAGGTGGAGATAATAAATAATATTTTATTTGTTGTCAATTACAATTTTTAATAATTTTGTGCATTGAATTAAAGTTTATGGAAAGAACAAAGAATATGTGCTGAGTGCAATTAAAGTCTGATTTTTACTTCTTTCTATACTTAAATAAGCTATAAAATAAAATATTAAAAGTCTGTTAATACTAACAAAATTCATTAATTTAAAATAAAACACACATTAATTGAATGCAAGGTCATAATATAGTATGGACCCATTTTCATTGTCTTTAGCTTACATACATACAACATAGGATATTAATTATGTTCCAATCTTTTGTTGTTAATTTTTATATAAAGGTGTGTAAACTTACTATCAAATTTAAAGACAAGAACAATTCATGTGTTAATACGACTGTTTTCTTACAATATTCCAATTTTAAGATTTCAATACTGTACATGCTCATAACTTGCTTAAAAATGTACATTAAATTGATGCATTTTATAAAATCAAAAACATGTATTTTGTAACTGCCACCTGATAAGCGCATGTACCTATAATATAATATTACACAAAAATATATGTAGTTATAATTATTAGACATTTTACTTAAGTCATTAAAAACAAATTGTTTCTGACACTAGTAAGGATTTTCAACATGACTTGGTACTCTAGGTACCTAGTGTACTACTCATTACAATTTAACTGACCAAATTTTTAATAAAAACTGGTGTTTGTAAAGTATAATCCAGGGATATTCTGTTAATTTTTACATTTTTTAAAAACTTGTAATGATATGGGGAAAAAGCTAAAAAAAAAATTACTAAAAATAAAGTGTTTATACAACAACTAATTTTTAAATTGAAATCAAAGAAATCACTCAGATAAACATAGACATGTACTGTACAAATTATTTTACACATTTGTCCCAAATTCTTAATTACTATTCATTTATAATACATTTTTTAACCATTCACTTCATAACTAATTTTCAATCATAAACAACAAATAGCAAGATATGTTTATTTAATACAATTATTATATTGTCAATCTACCTAAGTCGGAAAAATGGAAAGAAAAATAAAGACTTTGTAAAAACATCCATTGACGTAATTTACATAATATGGACAAAGAACTATTTAAACCGCTATTTATAGTTTACATGTAATATATAAAACATATTCGGACCGCAATGTAAACAAAATGTATAAAATATACCCAGACTACAATTTACATAAATCTTTAAAAATTGATGTAATGTACAGCTTTACAAATTACAATGACTAATAAAAACGAGTATTAAATGATTAAAAATACATAAGTATAAATTATAAGTTATGCTTAAATTGTTTTCACAAGCTTCAAATAAAGACCAAGCCGTGGTTTGAAAACCAGTGCTATGAAATATGAGTATTGAGTAATAGAAATATAAAATAATATTGGCCCAGTAAGGAAGTAAACATACAAAATTAGCCATTTTAATATTAGGCACAGTATGAAAATGTAATATCAATGTTTAAATGATCTTTCAACCATAATATAGTGATAAATTATAGGTATTGGCATATTATGTATTTCTATCAGAATAGTGATCATGTTATAATATTTAAAAAAATGCTTAACTGTCTAATGTGAAAGCATGAAAGATAACATAAACAACTTCTCATAATAAGCAATAAACAGCGTCAGAAAGTAAATTCATCAAGTAAGTATTTCAGAAAAATAATAATCATTAATATTAAATTTATTAAAAAAATTAAGATAACTATGTATATTATTCTAATTTACGCAGTTAAAATCATTATTAATAATTAAACAGTGACTATTCAAAAAAATTTAGAAAATTCAGTCTGCCAGTGTACTAAGTTCACGGTTTCTAAACATATTTTAATGTAGCACATATAGGTAACTATCTATAGGTACACAATTTAGAAAGAATTTGGTAAACTTAATAATTGATATATATTTTTATATTCAATATTTATATTCTGACTTTTTTTCATATTAATGAGTATAGATTTACTTTGAATAGAAGAATAGAACCAATTTAAAATTTATTCAATTGTAATATTAAAAACTAATAATTATTGAACAAGTATTTAACGTATGGACGAATATAAGGTGTTGTAAATTTGTTAAGAAACGTGTAACCTTAGGGTTTATTATGTATTTATGTATATAAAAGATAATTTTTTAATACTATGAAAACATTTGTATTCTTTTTTTTTAGATTAAAGTAAAAATTTAAAAATGAAAATGCTAAAAATATATGCTTGTATATTACGGTCAAAACTAAAATACATGTTCATATATTATGTGTATAGTTATAAACAGCATTAATAGATGTTAATTATTATTTAATTTACATAAAAAGTATACCTAATATATTATGTACTTTAAAAAAAATATATATATTTATAAATTTATATATCATAATATAATATATATTTATTGCTTAGCATATTATTTACATTTTTCTAAAATAAGTTGTAGTTACATACATATTTTACCTTGATTTAAGATCCGGAATATCGAAATTTATTCAGTGTAAAAATCCAGAATTATGACTAAATAGTTAAGATAATTATTGGTACTTTGTTATTCTCATACCACCATGCCGAATAAGTATTAACACCCTGCCAACAGATGACTATCGATTTGTCTAATAATTTTTATATACCATTTCATTATACCAAATGAAAATAAATAATTAATTAGAAACATTGGTAATAATTAATATTAAACCTAAATAAACATAAGAGGATACAGCAATATCCTATTGATTCTTAAATGTAACATTTCACTTCTTATAAAGTTTTAGTAACAAAGAAGTTTTAATTATTGTGAAAAATAACCTATTAAAATTAATTTTAAACATTTGAAATTATACATAAAATATAGCAAAAAACCTAATACATACTAACTTTATTAAAATAAAATAAAATTTTAAATATTATAAAAATTATTCTTTTTTTCTTCTATATATAAATCACATATTGAACTTATCTGCACATAAGATATCAAAGTACAGAGTAATATCTATCACAAATATTGACGTTTTAGAATTAAAAATGTTAATGGGTGCCTGGTGGGGTTATAGATTATACACGGTTTAGTGGTAAGAAGATAACAAACACTCAATAATTATACCATCAAGTACAAATAGTAATCATTTTGCACATTCATTAAGCTATATGGGAAGAATAAAAGATATGTGCAGTGTAGTGTCATAATTTAAGTCAGTTATTTCTATACTCTAATAAGCTATAAAATATAATAATAAAAGTTAATAGTACTAACAATAATCATTAATTTAAAATAACTTTATAAAATATTTACAATTAAAACAAAATCTAATTACACTAAATGTAAATATTTTGAACTAACTTTATCATACAAAAATAAATTATATTGGGAACTTGTGAGGCTTAAACATTTTAACAACAATATATATTTTTTATATAAAAAAAAATAATTGTTTAAATATTGATTTATGAAAATTAAATAAATTGTAATTTTCTAATTATATTATATCATCAAATAATATATGTTATCTGTATTAAATTAGTGTTCAAATTTTAATAAGTTTTTAAATTTAAAAACATAGAGTTAAATAAAAACTAAAAAGCAACAATATTATAATTAATTGCTAATTAAAAAAAAAAAAAAATTATATTTACATAAAAATTGAAATTTATCTACACTTAATATAGTATTCACTACAAAAACTTCAAAAGAATCAGTAGTGTTACTCCATTTTACAGTTCACCAATAATAATGAGTGAACAAAATAATTTTTATCCTTATTTATCTATGTTATGAATCAGCATGTACTACACTGTGTTTTTTCAAATATTCTTGATTGAGAAATGATTTACCACATTGGTGGCAAACAGCGGATGAGAAATTTATACGATCATGAGTGGCAAAATGACGTCTCAATGAAGCGAGTTTCAAAAATGACTTGTTACATACTGTGCATTCAAAAGGCTTTACACCAGAATGTATCATCACATGATTTTTTAGATGAGATGTACTTTTGAATCTCTTCAAACATATGTCACAACGATGAGGTCGCGATTCAGTATGAGAAGCTTTATGTGCAATCAAAAACGACTCTTGAATGAATGTTTTGTTGCACACATCACACCTATGCACTGATCTGTGATTCGAATGCATGATAGCATGCTCTTGTAAGTGAAGTGCATGATTAAACGTAGCACCGCATTCTTTGCATGAGTACTTAGGTTCAGCTTGCCCGCTATTGTTGGTACAATTTCCAGAGATCATATGTTCATTGAGTTGTTCATATGAAAAAAAGGACATACAACATGATGGACATTGATGTTGCAAAGCAAGTTTTTGATCATCTTTAGAATGGGTCAAAGAATGTTTTTTCAAATTTGATGAATCAGCAAATGCCAAGCCACATACATCACATGCAAAAGGACGACAACCAGTATGTGTGAGCATATGACGTTTGACATCTGATGGACGTGTAAATCCTTTATTGCAAATACGACAGGGAAATGGTTTTCGGCCTGTATGAGTTATCATATGAGCTTTAAGGTTACTTTGATTGGTAAATGTAGCTTCACATTTGACACATGAAAATGGCTTTTCTCTTGAATGTACCAATTTATGTCTTTGCAATTCTGAAGGTTTACTAAACGCTTTATCACAGGATGTACACGGATATGGTAAACCCCCATTATGAATCATTGAATGCACTTTTAAATTATAATTTGTAATAAATGACATGGAGCAAACTTGACACACAAATGGACGTTCACCAGTATGGATCATCATGTGGCGTTCTAAATCAGATGGTCGTCGAAATGATTTTTCACACATAGTACACGGATGTGGCTTTGCTTTTGAACTAGCTATTAGGTGCCCACACAAATTACTGGAATAAGTAAATGTCATGTTACAAGTTTTACAATGCAATGGTCGTTCACCAGTATGTACACTCGAATGTCGTTGCAGACAAGATGGCTTTAAAAAACTCTTATCACATTCAGTACATGTGTACACAGCACTCCCAGTATGTTTCATGATGTGAAGTTTTAAATCACTTTTATTTGCCACAGACACACCACATTGATCACAAACAAAAGGAGGATTTTCTGTATGAATTGTCATATGACGAAACAATCTATAGCTTGAAGGAAATTTTTTATCACATCTAAGGAAAAAAAATACAATTTATAATATAGCAACATATAAAATATATAAGATATATTTAAAATAAAAACATACTTTTCACAAGCGTGTAGTTTCTGACGAGAGTGCATTTGAGTATGTTCTTTTAAAGATTGATCATCAGAAAAAGCTAATCCACAAACTTCACAGTAATGTAACTTAATATTGCGATGGATGACTAAATGTGCACTCAATGCATTAGCCTTATCAAATTTTTCTCCACAAACAGTACACAAAAATTTACAATCAACATTTTGGCCATCTTCATGAGACACCTCGTGAGATTTTAAGGCATTAACATCTGAAAAACGTTTGCCACATTTTTGACATTGTAGTTCATCCATGGGGTTAGGTCGCATAAGACTTTGACAGTTTGCCACTGCCTCATTAGCCATGTCAATTGCAATATTCTTATCTTCAGCAATATAAATTTCTGTTGTTCCTTCTTGATTAGATAAATCCACATTTTCAATTTTTAAATTATTTATCTGGATTTGTCCTCCAGATACACTTATGGCTTCTTGACCATTGATTATTTTTGCTAAACTTTCTACAGTCATAGTCCCCACTTCTTCTTGATCCAATAATAAATGGGCTAAATCCTACAATTTGAAAATTTTTATTAGAATTAAATTAATTTATATAATTAAATTAAGATTAAAATGTTATAGGTATTTTTAAAATTCATAGCAATAAAAATAAAAAAAATTATTGATTATAAATAACTATAATACACAGAATTAAAAATAAATCAATTAATAAAGCTAATACAAGGTCAAAAAATGAATTACTTACTCCATTTAATCCTTGAACAAATATCCCATATCCAATATTTTCATGCACACTGAAATATTAATAAATATTAACTTCAATAAAATTTAATGTTTATATTAATTGTTATAAATTATACTTTAATAACTAAGAATAACTTAGCAACTTAATAATCTACAATTTAGAACAGGGTTGAAAAAGTAATAGATATTGAAAATTATATGTATGATGTATAAGTGACATATAAATTATAATTAAATATATTTTGTACATTAAGTATGATTATATGTTTTTTAAAACACAATTTTCTATACTAATTATTGTTATTTTCAAATTTTTTTTAATTGATACTTTAGATTTAATAACTATAAACATTTATTTCTTAAAATAAGTTTTAATCCGAAATAAAATTAACTAAGAATAAAAATAATATTTTAAGACTAGATAAATGTAATAATATGTTTAATATAAAAACCTACATTTTCTATATAACTGAAACAAGAATTTTTTATTGTGTGAAATTATTAATATTTACCAAGAAAATTAGTAAAGTTATGATCAAACTATATAAGGATATAAACAGTATATTTGCAATAATCTAAACAAACAAAATATATATTATTATAATTATATTTTTATCATCTTATTGCTTCTTCAAAATAAAATATTTTCATTTTTTCAATAACTTAAATATCAATAATATTCAGCTTAATATCCTATCATTGTATTACATTTTAAATTGTATAGAGTTTTTATTATTATCTATTATTTAAGTGTCAACCACACTATGTATTTTGGTAGGTTGAAACAGATGTCTGTCTTAGCACATAATTTTGCAGTATGGAGAATCAAATAAACTAACCAAAATACATAGTGGGCAGGCACCTTAAAGCTTCAACTTCAACAACTATGGTTATTAATTAGGTCACTACATTTAATCCAAATTATAAGAAAAACTTAAATTTGAATTAAGTTTTTACAATGTTTGGCTTAAATGTAAAAATTACTTTTGAGTTTTTATATTTTTACTAAATTAATATAGCAGAGAGGCTAATAATATTAAGATTTTTTGTGCTTAAGTGTATTGTTTTCATTACATGTGTTGCATGTTGAAACCAATTCTTAGTTGATAATATTGAAGAGGGCTACAACTTATCTTTTTATAACTATTTAATGTTGTTTAATTTTTTTATTAGTAGTATTTTATTCCAGTTTTCCTGCAATGGTTCTACAGTTATGTTATTAATAATTTATAATAAGTTGAATTTTTTTTTTTTTAATTTTGGATACATCTCACAATAATTAATTTAAACTATTAAGCAAGACTTAAAACTATAATTAAAAATATCAATATTTAAACAGAAGGTTTTTGAATTTTTTTAGGAATCAATATTTGTTTATAAAAAATCTTTCAGATACTTTCAATTCAAATATTATTTAGCTAAGGTTAGATAATAATAATTGGTTCGTTGAATTTAGTTATCATATAAATATATACAAGGTTAATAATTTTCTAAAAAAAGATTTTAAAAAAAGAGCAGTTTACTAAAGTTTTAAAATATAAATTATTATTTACTAGTCTATTAATTATTAACCTATTGAGCATCATCACAATTATTTCCCTATAGTTTATTTTTAGCTTTGGACGATGACATCTAGTGATTTTTATGAATTAATGAATAATAAAATGGTTACTAAAAAAATCATAAATACCTATGTACCTGTTTAAGTTATTATCAGACTATGACTTACATTAATAAATAAGTAAGTGAAATAAACAACTACAAAGCTGATCACTTACTTATCTCACAAAAACCTAAACCACTATTTGAAAAAAATTATTTATGAGTTATATAACTGAGTAAGTAATTTTATCAAATTATGATAGGCACAGTACTACAATTTCTTACAATGAGTGTTTTGAATGGTTTTAAAATCAAAATCGTAAACTTACTTAAGTTTTTATAACCTATTAAGACAACTATTAATTATTAATCTTATCATTTTATTAAAATATAAAGTTTGTATTTCAATTTTTTTTAACTTTTGAAAAAAAATATATATATATATATATATTATATATATATATATAAATACTGGTATTTACCCAAACTGGAATCATTTTTCTATAGTTTAAAGAACCAAAATCGATTTTTTTTTCATGAGCCTAACTGGAACCAGAACCGTAAAAGATCATAGAGGTTACAGACATAGTGCATATTCTACATACATTTTATTTTTAAAGGTTTTAATTTTAATTACATGCTTAAAACATGATTTTTTTTTATCATTATTACACATCATATACAATATGTGGCCTAGGATACAAAAACATGTAAAATAAAAATTTTTTTATCAAAATAATTAGATTAGATTCTAAAATTTAATATAATTATAAAATACACACTATGTCTGTAATTAGATCATTCAAATAGTTGGTTCTATGTGACTGTTTAATTTACATATTAATTTTATACAACAAATTAGGTACCTATAATTATTTTAGAAAATTTGCTATGCCTAAAATTTGAATAATAGATATTTAAAATGTTTATATAAAGTTTTAATGTCTCCAAATGTATTAATTTTGACAAAACAATTGAAGAAGTTATTTTAAATTGTTTAATGTTAAAACTTCAAATTTTAAAAATCACTATTGAAAATTTAAGATATGATTATGGTGCCAATATCTATGAAAAAGTAAAAACAGTGCAGACATATTTTCTTAAAAAAAAATAAGTTTGCATGCAATCTTGTGCTGCTCATCTATTAAATCTTATTGGTAAAATGCTACTAAGATTTGTCCAAAAGTTGTGACTTATTTTAGATATGTACAACGGTTGTTTGTACTTTTTAATTTAAATAAACTATGATGAAATTTTAAAATATAAACCAGGGTTCAGGTAATAAGTAGTGAAAGGTTCAAGAATGAAGTGGATAAGGCTGAACATGTTTAAATAAAACATTTAGAAACTTACCGTCGATCATCTGTATTCTCAACAGTTGCACCTTGGACAGTGACCAAACGTTTTTCCCCAGATTTTTCTGTTACAACAATTTCCACGCTATTGTTCATTTCTGAAATTGAAAAATATTTAGTATTTATATAAACTCATATAACAAACAAGAATTAATTGCTTATATTCTATAGGTCTTAAATTGTATAGTTATATTAATAATGATTTACTACAGATTGTATGAGTTAAGAGTTTCAAAATTATAGACACTTATCACTAATAATTAAACTTGTAGTTAAATAACAAAATAAATTCACAATTTATCAATTAGGGACATTTTAAATAGATAGTATCATATTATGTATTTTATAGGTAAAAAGGCATACCCAAAATTATGTGACTACTGAAAATTAGTCTGAATTTTTCCAATGAATATTTTACTATTCTTCTACATAATAAATAGACTAGTGTTTACTTAACAGAATATGTAAGGTCTGTAATTCACACAAGCTTCTAAACATGTGATTTTACCTACATTTAAAATTAGGCATCCTGCCTTTACTAACTATAAGATGTATTAGTCACTAAATAAAAATTAAACAAAAAAACTAATTTAATTACCTTTTTAGTAAGAAATTTAAAATAATTTAACTGTATATACTTCAAGCGAGTCAGTACTCTTAAAAATGTAATAAATTATTCCTATATCAATGGCTTAATGGCTTAATAGCTAAATATAAAAAAATAAAATAAAAAGTCCAAGTATATTGCTTAATATTTCTCATTACCAAACTTTTTCTGTACTCAATAGGCATTAAATTTCAAGTATAAATAAAAAATGTTCAATTGAGTCTTATCTGTTTCTAACGATTATGCCTAATAAAAATATATTACACAAGGGTAAATTAAATAATTACTGATAATGAGACTTAATCTGCAGTGCCAAAGTAGTACTGAAATTTGGTAAAGATGAACAACCTGTAGATATTAATATTAACACTTTTTCATCAAAAAAATCTCTCGACACTACTTTCCTTGAAACCACAGAATTTCTTTAGCACTAAAAAAAACTAAACTACAGACGGTCAAGTACATAATAATTAATATGTATTTACTTCCTGATATTTTTACGTCGTTTCAGAGTACAATTGATGATAATCGTGAGCAGATGTCTTCAAATCATTAATGTCAAGACGGCCAACCACACATTTGACAGAATCCAATCGCCGTAGTTGAATTTAATTTTTTCTTAAGTGAATGTTGACGAAACTATCACAACTGGACACACAACGGACCTGACTCCTGAACGGTATAGACAAGGCTTAGGGTACGTTAATTATTGTTGTCGATGTCACGCACACTTATAAACAATAACAATAAATAATAATCGTTCGATATCACGGTAATACCAAAATTAATATACAACAAAGTTTTATGATTTCTTCATTATTGCGTTTCATCAATATTAATATTAATATTACTATTACTACTATTACAAAATATATTATTATTATTACTATTATTGTTGTACTCTATTCTATTTTATAATAATAATATAATACGATGATGATGATCAGATGATAATAGTGTTCGATAGTTTTAGGAGATGATAAATGATAATATCACAATACCCGACGGACAAAAAAATAACATAGTAACACCGTACGATGTATATAATAGTATGGGTGTTATAATATTATTATTATTATTATTATTATTATTTCAGTTTGGGGGCGATCGTCTTGACGATTGGCGTAAAAACAACCACTTTACCAGTGTCGCGCATACGATACACTCCAACCCTTGTCGGTTGGTGGCACTGATTCTATTGTTCGGACAGCCGTTTCGGCAGTGGTGCGGCAGCGGCGATGAGTTTGAGACTTTTACTTTACCATTTTTTAGTATTTAGTATTTACCATTACCTACCATCTACCAAGGACAAACCGGTCGTCCTTAGGTCGTGACGAACTCTTTTTATTTTTCGTTTACCCGCCGAGAGAATTTTGAAAAATCGATTAATTTTTTTTCTTGCAGTATTCCCCCCCAACTACCCCCCTACCATCGCCGTGAACGTCCATCACATGACATAACAGCAGGCGTAGGTACATACTACATTGTATAATGGGGCAGAACACGCAATGGCAGACTTGTAATCACGAATTACGCGTTTTTTTTTTTTTTGTGTATGTGTATCGAACTTGTACCTATAGGTATAATAATCATAGACGGTAGTTAGTACTTGGTATAATAGTAGTAGGCAATCGCAGTACGCTGCATTATCTGATATACTCCGCTGACGTTCGTTGTTCACACACACACTAGTACACTACCAAATAATATTTTTGACACGCGGATAGTAATAAATGAGCGATAATAACGCGATCGATACACCACATATGTATAAAAAAAAAACGCTAATTTTATATAGGATTATGCTATTTGGCGGTCGTACGTGTACAGAATGTTATTTTAATAGATAATAGTGTGTACAAGTACACCCAAATCAGACAATTATCGGACGCAAATCTCTTATTCAAAGTTGACGCGATTACGTCATGAGTACAATATAAAGGGATGGATGGTTTCTCGAACATGAATACTCCAAAATTTAAGCACCCAACTCGGAACTCCGAATCGGAGTTGGAAATTAATACTCAGGAATCAAAATAGAATAGGTACTTTAAATTCAAAACATTTATTTTCGATATCGATACTATTCTAAATACAATTTAAATAGTAAATACTATAAATGGTATATAGTCATCTCTTAAGTACTATTTTTATTTTCGGTATGATCATTATCACAGTTTTCACGATTTAAGCATTCTATATTGATGGTATAGAGACAATACATATTATATATTTTCATTAATCAATGTTATAAATCTTTTCTCGATTCAAGAGGATATCTGCAACGTACTATTTATTTTCTCCCTGACTCACGCACAGGTACAAACATAGGTACATCCAGCAGATTCAATTTTAAGTGGTTAATTTTAATAATATTATTAATGGTTATCTATTAAGGTTAAAGCTAAAATGATTGTATTAAGTACTTATATCAAAAGTAAAAAGACGACCATTAAGATTTATACGAAAATAACTATAATATTTTAACTATTCTATGTATTAAACTAAAAAGTAGAGTCTAAAAACAACTAAGCAAATACAATTTTTTAAGAAAAAATTAAGTATTAAATTTAAAATTATTACATGTAAAATTAAAATAGTTAAAATAATCAAGTGAGAAAAAAATTGTATTAGCTAAACGAAGATTTCTGGAAAAAAAATGCTCTATTGGTCCTATAATCGTTAATAATTCAAGACAAAGAACATACTCATTTGGAATAAACTTTATATCTGCCAGATTTCAGCTTGAGGGAAGACCCAAAAATTCTTGTAATAGGTTAATTGAGTCTCTAGAGAAAGAAAAATTGAATTTATACCATAAACTTTTAAAAAACTTAAGTTGCACATAATTGAGTTCAAAGTAATAAGTAGATAAATTTTAAGACCAAACAAGTTAGTCAAATTCAAGGTTAGATATAGTTGTTATTTTATCTTCAGCAAACTCAACAACCATCTCATTATATAATGAATAAAACCTGGATAAAAACCAAGATTTCTGTAGAAAGTGCCCTGGTTCGCAACCCCCACCCTTCAGGGTTAGGCCTAGCTTTGACGAACAACTGTCACAACAATTGTACACTATTTATAATCAATGATACAAATTTGTATAATATAGATAGCTATTAAATTCGTAAAGTGATAATGCTATTAATTTAATAATTATTATTGAAAACTTCTCAAGGTTGTAAACAAAAATACGTTTCCTAATTTGAAAAAAAAATAATGTTTATTTCGTATTTCTATTTACTCTAAACGAATAATAATATTAATTGGTACAAAATCAGGGGCCTCAATTACTATAGGTAATTCAGCCCCGTCCGTAATTGCGAACTAGCGGTCCAGGCCAATCCTAATCTGACCGGGTTTATAACAACTAAGATGAGTTATCTTTAAAGGAAGTATATGCGCATTATCTGTGTCAACTAGAATAGACGTAGGTAATTATAAAATACAGCATATTTCAAGAAAACTTCTAGTTAACTGTTAACCCCCATAGGTTTAATTAAAAACTTAAAGCGGTCCTTTGAGATTTTCTCGAACGCTCGGTTGGCCAATCCAAACCTGCCAGGCATTTTATTTTAATAACAGATAGTCTCGACAATTTCGGATAAATTAACTAAATACATCCATCGTATTTAATAAGAATGTCAAGATCAACAAATAATGTTATTACTTATCAGGCATACGAGTAGTACTGGAATGAAAAGCAACAATAGTGTAATGACTAATGAATATAAATAAAAACCTATAAGGTGCTTTAGATAATATTCTTTCTTTTAAGTTTGATGATAAATGAATTCACTCTATTTAATGATAAAACTTAGTACTAAAAACTATGCACGAGGCGCACCCGTTTGCCTTTTGGGAGGAGAAGCAAGCTCGCCCATGAAAAATAATATTAACTTATAATTTAATAAATATTTCTATATGATAACTTAGACATTATAATTAAAAAATAAATTGAGTAACTACATAAGGATGAAATAAATGAAACGAAGAAATATTCCGTTTTTACTTAGCAATACCAAAAAAACAAATTTAATTATATTTTATTTTATATTTTTTCCTAAATTTATTAAAACTAATTTTAATTGTCTATAATATACACTAATATAAATATTAATTTTATAAATAATAGTATTTAATTATTATAGCACATTTATATTTATATGCTAAACATTTTAAAATAACATTACGCTTTTATTTAGCTTAAATTTGAGATATTTTTTATACCTCCTCTCTTAAAATATATGCGCGTCCATGCTAACAAGAGAAAATTTTATTTACTGAATATAAATTGTCATATTGTACATGGATCAAAATGAGTAAGCAAATGGTAAACTTATATCCTCATATCTACTTTACTATTAAGACATTCAATCCTCAACGACCATAAATTAACTGGTTTCAGATCGGATTGGAAGAATACAATTAACGTGAGACTGCTTTTATCGTTTAAGATAAAATGTCTAGATTAATCTTGATATTTTTGCTGGTATTTTCTTCCTTTTTTATTCATTATTCTTTTTCCAGATTCACAAATTTCTGTGTACTCAAAGAACATAATTATTAAAAAAAAAACTAATTTTTAATAAATTCACCGTATTGTATCAGACGTCGGATTGCGTTACAGGCGTTACAGCTGTTGTTTGCAACTCCGCTTTTAGATTATTAGTACCACGATTGTAGATATTAGATTACTATAGATAGTATATATCTATTCTACTAGTTATGATGGGTAAATCCTATCATACCTATTCCCATTTTATACCTATCGGATAAAAAATATGTATACTTCACTCACAAGTCACTGTCTGATAACTAAATACTAATATTCTCCAATATATACTAGCTGATACTTGCATCACGTATAGTATTTACCGGTGTTTCCGAATTGCGAACAAAGTGACAAAAACCATGTGAGTTGCAGACGAAATTTAAAAAGGTAACATATGTATTGCGGACATAAATGTAAGATACTAATTGCGGACAAATGTCCAATTATTATTTTTAATATAACGATTGTGGGCGCTGGGAAATTACTGTTTGGTATTGACGATTTTAAGACAGCTTTCAAAAAACATGTTTGATCAGTTTAATTACAACCTTACTCATGCTTGCTTAATATTTTTCATCTTTCTGATCACCTATTTTCTGTATAAAAATGTATAGTGAAAAACTTAATTTTTTTTTATTTCACGAACCGCAAATGCTTATGAAAGTGTTCATGCTAAACTTAATGGAATGTTTTATCGCATTAACCCTATTATATACCAATTGGTCGACGCCTTAAATGAAGTACAGATTGGTATACGAAAATGAATTGCACCTACTGCTATACAAAATTTGAAACGAACAAAAAAAACTGTCAAAAATGAAGCATTTATTAGCAAAAAAATGTTGTATCATTTATACAGGCTGTTTCAAAAAAAAAAATTGTCTGAGTCCTGAAAAAGTGTTGAAAGGCAACTCACGTGATTTTCATTAGAAAAAATTCTGTACGCAATAAGTATTATGACAGCGAAACTCGTGTCCGCAGTTGTTATGTTATAATATTGACTTGAATAATTTGTCCGCAACTAGTATGTGTCCGTATTTACGTACCGATATATTTATCTAATTGTTTTTGATTATCTTATATTTAAAATAAGTATATTACCTGACCGTGTATTTTATCTTGAACGCGATTATAGGAAATAGGAATATAAGTTGTAACTATGAAAAAGATGCTGGTTGATTATGACAAAATATTAACAGTAAATAGGTACTTAAATACTTAAATACCTAATATATATAATGGTATTATCAATCTCATATAAAAATACAAAAATTAATTACACTGTTAATCTGTTATGACTGTGTAAAATATTATTACTTAAAAATACTTAAAACTCACTTA